ATTTTGCCGTTTGAGCTCAAGGTAAATATCAATATTTTTGGAATTTTTTTTGTAATCGAATTTTTTTTGTATATTTGCTCAAAATTTGGTTTGTTGTGTATTCGGGTTTTGAAAACTATATATTTTTTGAACACCCCTATTATTTAAGACCTCAGAGTAATCTTAACTTTTCAATTAGCATAAAATCACAATCAATAATAAAAATAGGGTAGGAGGAAATGTTGAGTACCCCACATATATTAATATATAATTTCCGTGTATAATTATTTGTTTAAGTATAGTGTTATTCATAATTATATATTGTACAAATAAGCACACAATTTAAAAAGTAGTTTTGAAAAACCAATCCAATTGTAGTTTATGTTTAATAATATTCAACTTCAGTGACACATTATGAAAAAATAAAAATAAAATATCTGTTGAGGTTTTTACTATCTTTAATACTAGTACACCTACAAAACATTTTTTTAACAAAATACATTACAAGTTATTCATCTTATTAATAAAACTTTATATTATCAGCAGCAAAACTAGTTTTCTTTATCATGGTACAGATGTTGTTATAAAAAGAAAATTTGTCATGAAATACTGTGAATATCAATAGTTTAGTATTTGTAATATATTACAGAAACACAGGTATCCATTATGCATAAATCAGGTCTTTTGACCCATTTTTTTAAACCCATTTTGAGCAGATATTTAGAAATTTTTTCAAGTCATGTATGAATATAACAGATTTGTTTTAATAATTAGGCAAGTATTTCTAATCCACAAAAAGATGCAGAAAAAAATTGTGCAAGTAGAGAAGACCCAGACGGGTTTCAATTATATTCAATCAATTCAATTATTGGTAAGGAGATTTTATTGGAGATTTTATTATTATTTTATAAGTTTTTAAAAAATTTTAGTTCAGAAACTATTGAACAAAATAATTTAAACAAAGTTTTAACATTTTAATATGGTCAAATTACTATTTAGTAAAAAGATAAAATGTCATAAACAATTTTTATATCAAAAAAACTCATAATCGCAATCGCCATATTATGAAATAGATTACTAAACCATTTAACAAATACTTTATTTAGGTCAAGGAGTTTTTACTACAAAGTCATTTGCTAAGGGTGATTTCTTGTTAGAGTATAGAGGGGAATTAATTAGTAATGAAGAGGGATGGAACAGACAAGAAAAGTACAAAGTTGAAAAAGGTTGCTTTATTTACTTCTTTGAGCATAGCAACCCTGGAGAAACATCAAAGAAAAAATTTTGGTAAGGAGATAATGGAAATATTTTTTTATTATTTTTAATTTATTAAAAAGGTTTAAAAAATAAAATAAAAACAATATTACTAAAAAAAAAGAAAAAAAAATATCTAATTTTAATTTTTCCATTCTTTATCTATTTGATTAGTATTAATGTTTAAACTTATATTACTTAAGCATTGACGCTACAGAGGATTCTCATCTAGCCAGATACATCAACGACTCAAAAAAATATCCCAACTGTAAAATGAAAAAAGTGGTTGTAGATGGGCACCCGCATTTATGCTTATTTGCAATATCAAACATTGAAATCGGAACGGAACTGAGATATGATTATAAAGATGATGGCAAACTATGGTGGAGAAACAATGTAAAAACAAAAAATTATATATTTTTCTGAATAAGTAAATTACTGATAAAATTAAATGACCCAAAAAAATGACTAAAAAAACCCAAATTAAAAATACATGTCATTTACCTTAAGTTTATATATTTGCAATATTATTTCTTTTTATTAGAAAGAGTATAAAACACCTTATCGATTATCTGAAATTAATGAAGAAAAGAGCAAGCAAAATATACTTAAAAATGTGAGGAAGCTATAATTTCCTTAATATTAAAATTTTGTTAAAATTAAAATTTTAATGAAATTTAACTATAAAATAATTTTCATCTTATGTGTAATAATATTTTTCTTTTAATGATAGGCTGTAAATCCAAGTAGTAATACAGTTCAAAAGAGAGAATTTTTTTCAAACAAACAAATTTTGAAAGATAAAATAAACACCTTGCCTGCATCTATTGAAGAAAAAATAAAAACGTCTGAGAAGTATTATTTTATTGATATTGCAGCACAAAAACTAATTTCAAAACATTCATCATATATAAACTAGTATAAATAAAAAAAAATAAAACAAGTGACAAATGGTGAAAATATTTTTAACATATACAATATTTTTCTAATTTAGTAATCTGATTTACCATAGACCACAAGATTCAAATATATTTGTCTCAGAAATCAATTCATTTCCAGCAGGTATTAAATTTTTCAATATAACATTAGACCAAGCTTTATAAAAAAAAAAAACATATATATATATATATATATATATATATATATATATATATATATATATAAATATATATATATAAACATATATGAGAAAGACGATGCATTAAAATAAAAACCTAGTTAAACTTATAAAATAAAACTAATAACTGTAATATTAATAAACCAATGATTGGCTTAATACCAAATATGTTTTGTAAATTTTTAAAGAAATCAATAAAAAATTGAATTTATTTTGTAAGCATCATTTTTCTGACTATTTGAAATTTTTTATAGATGATAATCAAATAACAAACAAAATACACATACTAGAATGCGAAAAAGACACTAGGTATGTTATAAAAGAGAGAGACAAAATTTAAAATTGAGTTTTTATATGTTTTATGTTTTTAGTTAATATCTAATCTATATATTATATTTTTCTAATTTAATAATCTAATTTACCTTAGACCACAAGATTTAAATATATTTGTCTCAGAAATCAATTCATTTCCAGCAGGTATTAAACTTTTCAATATAACATTAGACCAAGCTTTATAAAAAAAACAACATATATATATATATATATATATATATATATATATATATATATATATATATATATATATATATATATATATATATATATATATATATATAAACATATATGAGAAAGATGATGCATTGAAATAAAATCCTAGTTAAACTTATAAAATAAAACTAATAACTGTAATATTAATAAATCAATGATTGGCTTAATACCAAATATGTTTTGTAAATTTTTAAAGAAATCAATAAAAAATAGAATTTATTTTGTAAGCATCATTTTTCTGACTATTTGAAATTTTTTATAGATGATAATCAAATAACAAACAAAATACACATACTAGAATGCGAAAAAGACACTAGGTATGTTATAAAAGAGAGAGACAAAATTTAAAATTGAGTTTTTATATGTTTTATGTTTTTAGTTAATATCTAATCTATATATTATATTTTTCTAATTTAATAATCTAATTTACCTTAGACCACAAGATTTAAATATATTTGTCTCAGAAATCAATTCATTTCCAGCAGGTATTAAACTTTTCAATATAACATTAGACCAAGCTTTATAAAAAAAACAACATATATATATATATATATATATATATATATATATATATATATATATATATATATATATATATATATATATATAAACATATATGAGAAAGATGATGCATTGAAATAAAATCCTAGTTAAACTTATAAAATAAAACTAATAACTGTAATATTAATAAATCAATGATTGGCTTAATACCAAATATGTTTTGTAAATTTTTAAAGAAATCAATAAAAAATAGAATTTATTTTGTAAGCATCATTTTTCTGACTATTTGAAATTTTTTATAGATGATAATCAAATAACAAACAAAATACACATACTAGAATGCGAAAAAGACACTAGGTATGTTATAAAAGAGAGAGACAAAATTTAAAATTGAGTTTTTATATGTTTTATGTTTTTAGTTAATATCTGATCTATATATTATGTTTTTCTAATTTAATAATCTGATTTACCTTAGACCACAAGATTTAAATATATTTGTCTCAAAAATCAATTCATTTCCAGCAGGTATTAAACTTTTCAATATAACATTAGACCAAGCTTTATAAAAAAAACAACATATATATATATATATATATATATATATATATATATATATATATATATATATATATAAACATATATGAGAAAGACGATGCATTGAAATAAAAACCTAGTTAAACTTATTAAATAAAACTAATAACTGTAATATTAATAAATCAATGATTGGCTTAACACCAAATATATTTTGCAAATTTTTAAAGACATCAATAAAAAATTGAATTCATTTTGTAAGCATCATTTTTCTGACTATTTGAAATTTTTTATAGATGATAATCAAAAAACAAACAACATACACATACTAGAATGCGAAAAAGACACTAGGTATGTTATAAAATTTATGCAAATAATTGAGTTAGCATGGGTATGACAAGTCTATTTTTATTTATTAATCTTTAACTACTTAGACATGTTACAGATGCATTTTATTATGTATTGTTTAGTATGCATGCTAAAGTCATAAAACATGATGAGCTAACTGTTCTTCCAGTGAAAGGAGATGGACACTGCATAATTAATTCTGTTTTAGCCTGCATAAAATTTTCGCATTTGTGCGATGATCCAACGTTTACAAAGAATTATTTATTAAGTGAAATAAGAAAAAATATACTTATGAACTTAGAATATTATGGGATGTTTCTTAATTCCAGAAATATAGATCCAATAAATGAAATAGATTCATATATCAATATGGGTTTATATGACAGTTCAACAAGTGACTTAATACCAAACATAATTTGCAACATACTGCAATGCCAAATTCTTATTTTGGAACTTAACCATGTTACAGAAAGTTATGAACTTGAAAAATCACACATATTAAATCCAACTGACCCAACAAGTGGGAGCTGTTTAAAACCTAATTTTACTTTGATGCTTAAAAGAGATCAATCAAAAAATCATTATGATGGATTAATATACACCAAACAATACAAAGGTTTGAAATAAAATTCTAATGATTATGATGCTTGTTTATATGCTTTTAATTTATAATTGAGAATATTTTTTTTGTTAATTTTTTAGCTCATGGAAAACAAATAAAAAATGAGGAAAATCCAGTTTTTATAGAAGATATAAACACGAAATTGATGGAAAATTCTTTAGAGTAAGAATAACATTCTAAAATTTTTATTATACACTTTTCAAAACTGAATTTTTAATATAAAACTTGTTTAACTTCAAAAATAAACTTTTATATTATTTTTATCTTAGTGGCTGTAATAATGTTATTGACTTTACACCACAACTTTCAACCCTTTTCACAGCAACCAGTTCATTTCACACAGGTATTAAATATTATCAAATGAAAGCAAAACAAAAATTGTCAAAAATAATTTATATATTTTATATAAGAAGTATATTATATAGAAATAAAATTATTTTATATACAACGATAACATAATTTGTAAATAATAAATAGATCCTTTTTGCATCATTAATTAACTTTTTATAACTAAAGGCTATATAAGTCTAAACTGTCAACTCAATTTTTTAACTTTTGATTTATTTTTCACATAAAACAAATCTTAATATTAATTTAAACTAGCAGTAAGCAACCCTTAATACGCCTTGTTAGTAAATAAAGTTAAAAAAAAAAAACGCGTATAGAAAAGCCTAGAAACTACTTTAAAATAGAAAAGCCTAGAAAATGACATAACTCGACTAATATTAAATTAGCGTATACATATTATCAGATTAGCAATTAACCTTTAAGTTTTACCTAAAGTCAAATAAAAAATTAAAAGATTCTGAGAGATGTGATGGGTACCCAGCAATTTTTTTGCGTACTAAGTACCTGGTAATTTTAGACACCCTTTTTTTTGGGTTTCCAGGCACCTTTAAAAATTACCAAGCACCTTTGATAATTGCAAGGTAAAATAACACAAATAATAAACCAGGTACCCAGCACATCATTAAAATTTTTTCTCATATTGGAAACATGTAAATGCAACTAAAAAAAGAAACAGTGATGTGAACATAGAATTTTATTTTGTTAATATCATTTTTTATTAATATTAATTTTTTTTTTTAGGCGATTCTCAAACTAACAATACACACACATCAGATTGTGATATTGACTTTAGGTGTGTTATAAAACTAGTTATTGTATTTACATACATAATAATAATAGTAATTTTTTTATTAACAACTTTCATGTGAGTGTGTATTGTCTATAAATGTGAAATGTGTTGATTTTAATTAGTTTTATTCTTGTTAAAACTATTGTAACTATCAACAAAAAATAAAGTTTTCAAATTAAATTAAAATCATCAGCTTGTAAAATATTATAATAATTTTTAATCTTTATAGTTTATATAAAACTGTTACTATAAACAATAACATTTAAATAAAGATATAATAACATATAAACTATAACGATTAAAATTTATTGTAATATTTTACAAGCTGGTATCCATAACCCAGCGAAATATTCTTATATAATAAAATTATTAGTATTGAGAGAAACTGTATTTCTTGATGTTTTAAAATAATATATAATATACTCTCATACTAGATGTCATCTTTCAAATATATATATATATATATATATATATATATATATATATATATATATATATATATAATATATATATATATATATATATATATATATATATATATATATATATATATATACATATATATATATATATATATATATATATATAATAATATATTAATATATATATTAATATATATATATATATATATTGCATTACTTTACAGTTTACATCACAAGGAAGTGAATACACACAAAAAAAAAATATACAAGCCAAGAAAATACAAGTCATGCCCTTTATGCGAGAAGCGTGTAAAAGATATACCAAAGCATATGAGGCAAGTACATTCATACTCCGTTAGCAGTGCTGCATCAACTACAGGACAATATGGATTAAGAGAAAAGATTGAAAAAAAAAGTGAAAAAAAAGATTACCATTGCTACAGACAATGCCCTGTGGATAAATGTTATAAGGTTGTGCTGCACTTACCACAACACCTAAAATCAGTTCATAAGGTAATATCTCATTTAATTTTCATTCAGAGTTGGGTTATCTAAATAACAAAATATTCCACCATACTCTACTTTATTACCACGTTTCGTCTTAACCTTTTTCATTACAACTTTTCAATTATACGCGTAAAGGATTTAATATGTTAATTTAAAAAATAATAGTTTAAAATGATTCATGATTCATTTTAATTATCATATACATACTATACATACCAAAAGATTTCTTAACAATTTTTGTTTGAATAATTTTTAGATTCAAAAAGGTGAAGAATACTTTAATCTATTAAATTCAGCAAAGAAAATTTCTACAGAACTAATGCCAAAAAATATTCTGACTTCTCCAAAAAAACTATATGGACATTTACCAACTGATTTTACATTGAACAAAACAAAGAAGCTAAATCCATTTATAAAAATTGAACATAAAAGTTTTATTAAGGAGCTAACATATGAGTCATCAATAAATGATGAAGAGTCATTATCAGATAGTAAAAATACAGAAACCTCTTCTGATGAAGAATATGCAATACCTCTGAGTGATGATATTAAAGAAAAAACTTTATCCAACTATGTGGAAAATCTACTTGACCTATTTTTTAATTTTATGACTGGCTCCAACCGTGGATGCAAACAAAACTCAGTTACTGAAATTGTTCGAGATGTGAGACGAATTTTGATAGAAGTAGGTGCATATGAGGATATTAGCATTGCATTTGATAAAAATTTGGCTACTTTAGAAAAGAAGTACATCCAGGAGTATTGCAAAAAAAAGATAACTAAAGCAGGATCTATAAGAAAATATCTCTCTTCGTTTAGATGTTTTTGCCAATATCTTATGCGGCAAGACGAAGATTATAAAGTTGATATGAAACTATTAACAAATGCTGAATCTCAACTTAAGCAATGGATTCGGATTTATACAAAAAAAGCTCAAATATATAGTCACCAACGTAAGGCTGATGACATGGAAATGCTTATTGATAAAGAGCAAGTTGAGAAATATGAGAAAAGCAGCATTTTTAAAATGGCAGAAGATCTTTTTGAACAAAAAGAAAAAATTGGTATAAATACATCACTCAATAGCACTGATTATTGCATAATGAGGGATCATCTACTTGCAATTATAGCATTAGGATGCGCACAAAGACCAGGCGCTTCAATCAATATGAAGCTAAACGAATACAAAAAAGCTAAGCAACTTGACAATGAACATTTTGAAATAGAAGTGTGGGAGCATAAAACTCTTTTACATCATGGATCAGCTCGAATTATTTTAAATCAAAAAGAATTTTTGAAACTAAAAACCTTTGTGGAAAAAGTTCGTATAATGTTAGACCAACAAAAATCAAACAACATTTTCTTAAGTTGGAAAGGAAATAAACTATCATCTGGAGATGTTAGTAAACGATTACATAATTTATGGAAAAACTGTGGGAATTTTGAAAACAAAGCACCTATAAAAAACTTGACAGCTGGAGCATTTAGAAGATCAGCATCTACAGGTGTTCGTATACAAGGAAGCGTATACCAAAAAGAAGTAGCTGCACTTATGAGTCACACTAAAGAAACAGCTGATGAACATTATGAAATAATAGATAAAAGAAAAGCAGCATTAAAAGGTAGTAAAGAAGTAAGAAAAATGTTTCACTCAGTCATGATGCCCAGTGATATTTTAAAATCTTCACCTTTAAAAACAACAAATAACACACCAAGAAAAAAATGGTCTACAGAAGAAACAAATCTTTTACAAACGAATCAGAGTCCAATGCAAGATATTTTGAAAGCTGTGAATGCATCACCAAAACAAATTTATGATAAAATAAGATCATTAAAAAAAAAGGTAATTTGCTCATATAAAAAAAATAGTAAAATAAGACCTTTTTCCTTAACTAGTTGTAAATCAAAAGTATTTATTGTTTAGGAGCACATTGAAGACAAAAAAAGCAGTGTAAAATCTCGAGTTAAATGGACAGAAACACAGAAACAAGAGTTGAGAGAAAAAGCAATAGAACTAATT